CTTCAACTGCATATACATATAACATAAAAACAGGGCGAACCCCAACATTGGCGTACAGTAACTTTTAGTCAGAAATAGTCTACCCTTAAAATAGTCTTATCGTAGGTCGTTGGTGGCTGCCATGGTTACGTCATCCCTGTTGTTTCCCAAGGCTGATTTCCTAACTTATGGGCGTTACTGTAATGCAAATTTTTTGTATATTTGCACTGAATCTTGTATTGCTAACATAGCATACGGAAATGATGAAATTTATTCTATAAACACTATAAAGTATTTTTCGGGATGCGCCATGCATTCTACTCCCATTCACAACAACGAGCGTTTCAATTGCGATTGCCTATAGGATGACTTGCGAGGACCAACTGATGCACAACTTATAATTTTTTCCACACAGACAATGCCGATACTAATCAATCGACCCAGAATGGATGGAACGCTCTGTAGGGCTAGAAGGATGTCCCCCAAGAGGCCCGTCGCGCGGCGAAGGAAGAGACGCAGATGCGGCAAAGGACGAGTCGCAGCGCGTGCTGTGCGATATGAGACGTAGTATGGCACACTCTATTTAACCTGACGCTTACGCTACACAGGGGCGGAAGTGGTGTAGTGGCAAGTGGCACGCTTACCACGCGAGCGGTCCGGGGATCAAATCCTGGGTCGTGAGTCGCCCGGGCCAACCAAGCCTTCCATCCCTCCGGGGTCGGTTAATTGGTACCAGACTTGTCTGGGAGGATAAAAACACTTGACATCGGCTGGCCCCCGCAAGTCATTGTATAGGCCACATCGCATTCAAACGCCACTACGAATGTACAAATGGAAGTAGAATGCGTGCCGCATCCCAAAAAGGGATTGATCAACGGCAAATGCTTTATCCTTTATCCTTTATCCTTAATCTCATCTCGCACCGCACGCCCTGCGACTCTTCCTTTGGCGCGTCTGCGTCTCTTTCCTTCTTCGCGCGACGGGCCTCTTGGGGGACACCCGGGCTAGAGGGGGTAGGATAGAAGACTTGATCCCAATAAGCAGCCAAACCGGCAACTTCAACTCATCCGCAGCAACCGTGTTATGTCTTACGGAACTGCAATGTAAATGAAATGTAATATCTATGTCACTTGGCCGATACGTCACTACTCTCTATGCATGAATAAAAAAGAAGAATGTGGTCAGGATGGAATGTAGGGCTCGCATTCAATCTGCCACTTCAGAATGCGCGATATATGCAATTTCCAACAAGATCCTGAAGACACTCGTACGCATATGATGCCTGTATAATGGGTTCGTAGACCAGTCGAAGCTATAGTCAAGGATCTTGTTACTACAGCTTGCCTGGTACAAAGTGATCTTGCGTTGGAAGCTTACCTAATCCGAGAGGGGCTCCGCCGTGCTGTGCCGCTGCACGGCCATCTCATAAGTCCAAAATGCGGCAATTTCAGGAAACACTACTTCTACAATATTTTGGAAAATCATCACACTTTTCACTAGGTTCTTAGCCTAGAATAGTTAGTAGCCGTAGACAGATGATTTCCTAACTTTTGACAGCATTTTTTTGACTACTGAGATGGCGAGCGCCGCCTGATCTCTATCACAACTCCGTTGTAGCCCCCGCAGCCCGAAGTCCCCAGCCCTACCTAAAGCTCAATGATCTATCACAAGAAACACCTAGCGTCTCACCTATTCCTGGATTTTTCTGACGAACGCTTCCTTTAGGGCCGCTTACCAAATCAGACCATGTTGAAAAAAAAAGCTGAAGAGCGGAGAAATTTTTCTAGCAATTACGGTAATCAGTGTTATGATTATCAAAGAGCCCGATAGCCCGATGCTTCTGTTCGTGGTTTCTGCGCAACCCTTTTCCTTCAGAATCCCTTGGTCCGCCGAACGGCAGTGGAAGCAAACTGTTCGGCATTCGAAGCTGACTGACCGCTTCAGGGGTGCGCCACGTATTCAACGCACATTGGCGTACACTGTGAATAGTAGAGGACAGTCGAATACCGACGCGCCCGTTTTTCTCTTCCGTTTAGACATGCATCTACCACCAAATGGGTCAGCTTTAGTAGCTTGCTCGGCCAGCGGAATCCGGTGTGAGATGCAAGCTTTGAACTACAGTTTGATAATCATCACCTCCACCCCGCCTCATAAATATACAGGGGTGGCCAAAAAAGAGACACTTCACTTCAAAGTTCAGCCAGCATTAATCACACTTTGCTAGAATCAAATCGACTGAACCCCAACAGTTATTAAAGAGCACATTCTAATCTATCTAAATGTTACATGACAGCCTTCTACACCGACGACATCAGAAGATTTTCCCACGGAAACATGGTTCACGGTACGAGCTCAACGAGGTCGTCGAGGTACCATAGACCATTACGACCTCCCTGAAACGCTGGTTAAAAGCGGTCTTGCACAGTAACAGCTAGTGTCTCCTAGAAGTTATTCACCATCTAATCAATTGAAGAAATCATGTAGCAGCTTCAGGCCGGAGCGATTACAGCAAGCCTCGTTGAGCTCGACGGTGACGACAGATGACGTCATATTTTGAAGACGGTGGAGGCAGTGAAAAAGGGCCTACTTCTGCTTACGTGGGAACATCTTAGGAATATTCCGCCATAAAACTCTCATTAACATCGGCGCCCTGTGCGACAAAAAGTTCGATGATGTGCGCCATAGGCAAAGTGTCTCTTTTTTTTGGCCACCCCTGTATATTGTCACGCGTCCTGAAGACTATTGCTTTCCTGCTAACTTATAGAAGGGGTGACAATGAGTGCCGTTGAGACAGGTCATGCTGCCGTTTTTCTAACTAACAGAAGAATCGTACAATCTAGGCCGTGTGCAGCAAGCTCCAGCCAGTGATGGGTCCCCAAACCCTACATCTCTATACGCATTCCCCTATTCCTGACCATGAGGACTGCGTCATCGACCGAAGTAGATACGTAGAGTTTTGGGGACTCATGCCCGGCCGGGGCTTACTTGGCCGTTGTTTACGCGCGACCTGGGGCTTGCTCTGCCCCAGGTCGCGCGTAAACAACAACGTAATCGTGACCAATACCTTTGGCCAAACGTCATCGTAAAGCTGATTTTCATTTTCAAAATATAGCTTAACAATTTCAGAATAAAGATCCGAGAGTGATTTGCGAATGAGGGTATGCGTGGTCGGAGCTGGAGTTTCCGGCCTCCCTTCTATAAAAAGCATGTCTGGAACAGGGCATCGAAGTGATTTGCTATGAGAAGACAGCTGACCTCGGAGGCCTGTGGAACTATCGACCTGGACAGAACAATGTGCGTTTTGAATCGTTGAGTCCTCGAAGGATTCAAGCAGTATTTTAAAACTCATCGGACTGAACAAACAAGCTTCTATTTTCAGATTGGCGCGCACACTGATGGCGAGCACTGTTGTGAACACGTCCAAAGAAATGATGGCCTACTCAGACTTCCCACCACCAGAAGATTGGCCGAATTTTATGCATCATTCAAAAGGTTAGGCTTCCGGATGAGACTCTGCTATACATGCATTGAAGCTCTCGATACGCCTTTAAAATAAAGAGGAGGCCAGGAATGACCGACATCGAGGATCCTCATTCAAAGTAGAGGATTCCTCTCTGTGTAGATGGGGTGCGAGGGGTGGGGTAGTGCGACAGTGCATTTTTGGAAAGTAGTCTTATACGGGGAGTAACAGTGCTTAATCGAGGTTCGGGTGTTTATCGTTTGTTAGCGTTATATAGAACTTTTAAAAAAATTGCAAAATTGGCGTCCAAAATTATTCAGAACACTCTTTGCTTTTTAACTGCCCTACTACCCTTCCCCCGCTGTTCATATTTGGTTGAGGAAGGTACATTTTTAGGCATGAGAGTAATATTGATAAAAAGAAGGGGAAAGTGCATATTAGACCTGGGAATACTTCCAAATTTCCTAACCTGTGATTTGCCCTGGCAAGAACTTTTTCGATCCCTCCTTAACAGTGTCGGCTCCTATCAAGATAGCTAAAAGCAACAAACCCAGCAGAGTTCTTACCTTCGACACTAATCGTGTCGAACGATGCGCTAGCCCTAATCAAGGACATAAGAATTGACTAAACAAAAAATCGTGGAAGCCCAAAATGTAGTTGAACGCCTTCAAAGTGGGCGTGCCGGCCACCGATCGTACGTCCCTCTTGCCAGCCGTGGCGATCGCGTGATTGGCTGCAGGAGGCATTTGCGTGTGGCGTGGACCGAATTCAAATAGTCCCTGTCGGAAAATCAAATAGGTTGCAAATGCTTCGCACGCCAATCACCCGATCTCCACCAGCTGGCAAACAGCTCACATTGGGTTCAACTCCTTGCGCGCTTTAGAAAGTGAGTTTTTGTTCATTCACACTCCTTATGTTCTGACTAGGGCTAGCGCATCGTTCCACACCATCAGTGTCGTAGATAAGAACTCTGCTGGAACTGCTGCATCAATATAGCTGAGCAGACTTTTGTGAGTTAGGCGTATACATTACGCGTTGAAATATAGGTGCAATTGCTTTTCTTGAGGTATTTCGGACTTCCTTCAGTCCCTTGAATTTCTGTGATGCTCTTGAAGGAAGGTCGGGATTAGTTGACCATACCAATATGGAATATGTCCAACTTGTGCGATCCGTAACTAGGGGTAATAACATGCTCGATCTGCTTTTTTGCAATGATTCTGCCTTTGTAACTAGAGTCAGTACTGAATCTCCCGTAGGAACGAGTGATCATGCTTGTATTGAGTTCTCTTTGAACCTGAGTTGTCATGAAATTCGGTACATTTTGAAAAGAGATTTTAAGAACGCCAACTACGACCACATACGTAGCTATCTTGATAGCATTGACTGGCTGGGTTCCTTTTATAGTCTCGGTCATGTTAATGAAATGTACGAAATGTTCCTATCCATTCTTTATCATTGTTTAGAATCATATGTTCCTTTGCACAGAGTTAAAGTTCACAAAGACCACATCCCCACTTATTTATATTCTATGTTCGACAAACGAGTCACTGCTTATAATCGTGCTGTAGCGAGTAACCAGCTGGGGGACTGGGAGCTCTACAAGAGTATCAATAAGAAGTTTGAAAACAAGTTGTATAAGTATAACTGCCTTGTTGAAAGAAAAGCCATAGAAAGCAATAGCAAGGCGGATCTGTTCAGGTATATCAACTTCAGGATTAGAAAAAAAGAAAGCATCATCACTGCACTAGTGAAACCAGATGGTACCATAGCTATCTCAGATTCGGATAAGGCTGAGCTTTTGGCCGAAACTTTTGAGAGAGTTTATGTTAAGCACAACGATTCTGAAAATGAGAGTCTTGAATTGTATGGAATCTTCCCGCAAATGGATGACTCTTTGTGGTTCCATGAACATGATATTTATCACATTTTGACTCAGTGGAAATCAAAGTCCTCGGTCACTCCTGATGGGATCCCATTTCGATTCATAAAGGAATTAATTCCCTCCATCGTATCTCCGTTAAAGTATATCTTCAATTTGAGTTTTTTCCGGGCCGAAGTTCCCGACAGATGGAAACATGTATATGTTTCCTATTCCCAAAAAAGCTCCATTAAAGGATCCCAATAACTATAGGCCTGTAAGCATCTCGTCAGTTTTTTGTCGAGTATTTGAAAAAGTTCTAAAGAAGGTTTTAGTAGAGCACTTGGAGCGGAATAAGATATTGTCCAACAGTCAACATGGATTTCGTAAATATCGATCCACGGTCACTCAAATGCTTGAAACCATGAACGATTGGACGACGTTTTTGGACAGTGGGAAAGAGGTTGATGTCATCTACTTCGATTTCTCCAAGGCTTTCGACAGGGTCTCACATAGGAAGTTACTGACGAAGTTGAGACACATAGGCGTACACAAAAGAATAATAGCATGGCTAGAATCATTTCTGAAGCAACGCACTTTTCAAGTCCGGATCAACAACATATTCTCTGGTGTTAGGTCAGCACCTAGTGGAGTTCCTCAAGGAAGCGTTTTGTCCCCAGTTTTGTATAATATTTACACATATGAGCTCCCCAGTCAAATCGAAAGCTCAGGTGTTGTTTGCAAAGCGTTTGCTGACGATTTGAAGATCTATAAAGCGGTTTCCTCCTCAGATGATTCAACTAAAGTTCAGGAAGCAATTAACACTGTGAGTGCTTGGTCCAAGGTCTGGGGTCTCCCCCTAGCGAATGAAAAATCTTCTGTATTCCATCTCGGTCCTAACCCCATTCTTTTCGAATACCATATCGAGGGCAATAAGCTCTCCACAAGCAGGGAAGTTAAGGACCTAGGGTTTATTGTTGACAACAAGTTGACCTTCGCTCAACACTGTATATCAATATCGAGTAAGGCAGAACGGCGGCTCAACTTACTCATGAGGAGTTTGTTTACGAAAGATCCATGTGTCCTTCTCAAGGCATACAAAACTTATGTTCGGCCAATACTAGAGTACGGAACTTGCATTTTCTTTCCACATTCTAAAGGAATTATTAGGAAACTTGAAGCCGTTCAAAATAGTTTTACCAGGAAACTTCTGATAAGAGCACTTGGTTTCAGCTATAACTCAATACCCCGAGGGGTTATTAGGAACAAAATGTTAGGAATTGACTCTCTTCTGTATAGAAGAAAGATGTTTGACTTGATAACTGTTTTTAAAATGCTCACAGGGAAAGTCAATGTCAAATATGAAGATTTCTTTACAATTTTACACACGAATACAAGGGGAGAGAAAAACAAACTTTCTATTCCTACACCTAGGACAAGTACAAGAGCCAGGTTTTTCACTTCAAGGGCAGTTACGGATTATTCCAAATTGTCAAAAAAGTGTGCAGTACCTAAAAGTACAACACAATTCAAGAACATCTTGCGGCGTTATCTGAAATGAGGACATTTTATGACCTAATCGGCAGGGAGGTTTTCTTATCTCATTTTTCCTACCTCATACATATTATCCGTTTTATCCGCAATTTATTCTGTCGCTAGAATTTATTTAACTTAGGTAGCACCCGAGTACTTTATTCAAGTACTCGGGTGCTACCTAAGCACCAGTTTGATCGTTTTTTTTTCTCGTTGGCTTTGAAGTTGTGTTCCTCCATGTGCCTGACACATGCAATAAATAAATAAATAAATACCAACCCTTTTGGTCATCTGTGTACTTGGTTACGCACCAGTATAGATGTTCCCACGCTCAAATCTCGAACGGGCGGTAATAAGGCCCCAGGGCATTTACTATGCGCTATCGCCGCCTGGCCTCGCTACGACCGTTTTGGTTTGTAACGGCCTTGTCGACGGTTTTTCTCAGTTTTTTCTCCACTGTCGTTCCACTTCGCATCTCTATACTCAGTTTCAATCGCCATAATACCCCCTTATTGAGCCCGACTTTTGCCTTTAAATATCAGCTTATGCAGTATAATCCCAACTGTCGTTTCAGGTGAACAAATACTTGCACATGTATGCGGACCATTTCGATTTGAAACGCCACATCCGGTTCAACACAGTAGTAAAGCATGTAAGTTTCCTAACATGTGCATTAATAAAGTTAACTGGTAATATTATAAAATATCTGATGGTCTCTTACTATCTCTCTTTCGCATGCGCCATGCACATTTTAGTTCCATTGAGAATCGTACAGACCTTTGAATACGATCTGGTAAATGCAATGGTCTTCGTTGCCGGCTGATGCGCAAACCAATGTTTTCTATGCTAAGGGAAGAGTTCCGTACCAAATGGCCAACTTAGATGGAAGGCTTTGTGCGTCTAGGCAGAAGAATTCGACTAGGAATTCGACGACTAATGGAAGCGATTGCGATAAAGAGGGAACGCGTAGGGAAAGTGTCTGCGTCAAACCAGAGGATTTCTGACAAGGAGGCGAGGTGCGGCGCTTCCTCGATGAGAGATGCGCTGGTTGAGTACTTAAAAAGTCTCGCTCCAGAAGCTTTCCATACTTTAGTTGGTAATATTGGACGAGCTATGTTGCCAGCAGCGGCACAACTGGAGCAACTCGACTGAAGAGTGGATTGGCATGTGCCGCAAAGCGCGTTGCGGCAAACTCGTCCATACGTTCACCGTCTTACCCGCTGACCGTCCTTGAACGTTAACGGCCAGACAAGGGGGTCTTGATTTACGTTTTCTCGATGAAATTCGTTGTCTTCTTCGCCATTTCCGGACCATTGTGCACCTGCACTTCCCACCCCCCCCCCCCGACTTTCTACTGAACCTATTGTATGCTGCCTCATCAGTGACCGTGCTAAGCGCTGTCTTGCCACTTCACCACATACTACATCTTGTGCACTATTTGCAAGCCCCAGGTTTGGGAAACGTGGCTGACCGTGTTCTATTTCCAGGTTGCGGAAGACGGCGATGGATTCAGGGTGGAACTCGAGAATGGAGAAGTGAACCATTTCGAGAAGGTCATACTGTGTACAGGACATCATGCTGAACCGAAACATCCACAGCTCAGAGGTCTTCAGCAAAGATTGTTCTCAAGTGATATTAATGAAAAGTTCCACTTTCAGATATTGAGAAATTCAAAGGACGTATAATGCACGCTTACGATTACAGAGATCCCAAAGGGTTCGAGGATAAAAACGTGTTCCTGCTCGGAATAGGGAATTCGGCTCTGGATATTGCCGTGGACCTTGCAAAAGTTGCCAAATCTGTAAGTAATTGCTCAAAGTGCGGATTAGTCAATATGGAGTGTGAAAGTTCGCTCGTTGCCCCCAAATTAGAGGCTCCGTGCGACAAGACTGCGGGAAGCTGCACGCGGCAAGCACTTGATTCTCGCAAGGCGTGACTGAGACCGATGGGTACCCGACAGGAGGCCCGTCGCCCGGCGAGAAGGCAGAGACGCAGGAGGAACAGTGGACGAGTCGCAGCGCGTACTGCGTGATTTCGCGTCAAGTTAAATAGAATGTGCTATGCACGTCCCACATCACGCAGTAGGCGCTGTGCTGACCCATCTGCGTCTCGCCTTCTTGGCGCGCAACGGGCCTCCTGTCAGGTACCCGAGATCGATTCTACACGCTCCATAACTCAGAGATATTCCAGGTAACGATTTCAACAAGACGTGGTACATGGATTTTTAATAAGGTGGCAGCCTGTGGAATGCCTTATGATACTCTCTACATGACAAGGTAAGCAAAATGAAGAGAGTGATTGGGAAACACTAGCGCGCTTTCCATTTTGAGGTACTATGACTGGTTCATGGACAATATTCCCTGGACGGTGGCCAACGATTTCATGGAACATATAGTGCAACAGAGAATGGACCACGAATTGTATGGACTCCGACCGAATCACAGGTGAATTACTGTAACCACCATAAGACTGTCCTGGATAATATACAGCAGTGCCTGACCCGGAAAGATCCCAAAAGTGCGTTTTGTTTTCGACCGGTCACACATTTCCCATGTCAAGAATAGAGGGAGTGCATCCCGTGATGCAGTTCTGGGGACCAATTCTCAGTCGGATACTCCTGCGTATGGCCTCCGGGATGCTCAGGATATTTATCGAGATATCCCGATTGCTGGAAGTAGATCAGCGCACGCATGGCGGCGCTGCCTCTTGGTCACTGTAGGGATTCGGCGGAGTCACCTCGCCGAGCTGTTCTAGTTGGGGTTTTCTAGCTTGGTTACTGGTAATTATGTGAGTAAAACAGAAAAAGCAGAAAACACAAAACTACCCCTGCTATCCCGTCACTGGACCTGGGGGAAATGTTCTTCATTATCCTTCGGAATAACGAAGCCTAGACATAACTTTGGGCAGAGAGTGGTAACTACTACTTCTTGACTGCCATCTTCTTCGAGCTTCTGTTCATATAAAAAAATTTCGATCCGGTTGCCAAATTCAAAAACTGATTCAATCCTGCAACCCTTCAAAACGTATTGTAATGAGTGGAAAATCGGTAGCTTATAGCCGTACCAGTTTTTCTGGCAGTACGCCCACCTCGATCCGCGCTTCCACCCACCCTTCCAACCTCCCTTTCGTTGTCGTACTTTTTCCACCTTTTTTCCGGTCTCCGGGACATCTTGGGACCTAGTCGTAATGTTTCGTCGATAACCCACCCACATTGGTGCATGCTCCGCCCACCAATAGTGTTGACCTCCCTTCCGTTGCCGGACTCGAACCACTTTTTCCCCGGTCTCCAGGACTTCTTGGAACCGAGTTATAATGTTTCGTGGATAACTCCGCCCACTTTTGTGCATGCCCGCCCACTAATAGCAGTTGACTTCCTTTCCTTCGCTGACCTCTATCCACTTTTTTCCCGGTCTCCAGGACTTCTTGGGACCGAGTTATAATGTTTCGTGGTAACAGTACCGCTCATTTCGATGCACGCCACGCCCACTGTGGGCGGGGCTCCGCTTAGGTGATGTATGTTTTTTACTTCTCGAGATATGGTACACCCATCCCAAACTTGACCCGGACCCAGTAGGTTGTTGTTCGCTTAATACGGAATTTCGTGACAGACAGACAGACAGACAGACAGACAGACAGACAGACAGACAGACAGACAGACAGACAGACAGACAGACAGACAGACAGACAGACTTAGCGCATTACATATAGTAGGACAGACATAAAAAATTAAATAATTTTTATAAAACGAAGTTATTTCTCCTCTAAGACCTTGTGCAATTAAAGGTGACCTCAGTTCTTCCAACGCACCGCACCACCAAACAGTCAACGATCATGTACTTACAAGATTACATTTGTTCTGATATCATCTAAACAATTGCTGTCAAGTTTCCATACGCTACTCTCATAATGTTCCCAATGCAATTTCTAAACATATAATGATCCTAGCTAACCAGATCGTGTGTTATAGAATCCCGCGACTTTTCCACATCAAAATTGAGATCACTCAATAACTTTTGATCTGTTCCTCTGAGGCTCACTTCACTCTGATAATGGTGTGTTCTGGTGGCTCTAATGTTTCCTGTACTATTTAGCTGCAAAATCATTCCAACCTTCCCTACCCCTCCCCACCTTTTCGCCGCTTCCCGTCCCCTACTTCCTCCGTTCCATGTTAACCCTTTAATGGCAATGGCACCCACTGGTGGGTGTCCACCATAACATTTTCTTCCTTGTGCATTTGAAACATTTTTCAACATTACAGTACTTAAAGCAAGCACCGCAATATCAATGGTCAGCACGGTTCACAGAATTGTTCAAATGGGCTAATTTAAATGAGGTTTGAAATGCGGCATCTGGCTGCATATTAATTGGGCTTTCCGCATTATTAGGCTGAAGATTAGTTACTGATCAGGAGATCCTCATCTTCCTAGTATTCAGACACATAGAGAGATTTCAATTGCCCCTCCAACCCTTTGAAATCAAAGATCCCCAACCTGTGGTTCTCTTCACAACAACATAAAAAAAATGAAAGTATAAGACTGTCGCTAGACCTGAATTTGGTACTTCGCTAAAGTCAAAATTCGATAGAAAAACTGCTTTTAGGGACAATTTTGCCCAATTTGAGCGAGAGTTGGGCGCGCCAAAAAAGGCGTGGTCCCACGAGCACGCTACGTGCAAATCCGTATTGTCGTCAAAGGGTTAATGGAGTGCAATGGTAGGGCAGTGGGTGATGGTGCCTACTGATATGTGGATTGGTTTTCAGATCGAACCCCCACCCGCTTCAACCTTCAGATCGGTTGGGACTTGGGGGGTCAACATTGGCAAACGAGACCTACTCATCAATCAAACCCCTTGTAAGCAACCTGGATCTGCCCTTTATGAACTTAATTCGAAGTTCCTTGGGATTATAGAGAAAGTTAAAGAAGATCTATGATAAGATTGGAGGTCGCAGAAGGTGGACTATAATTACATAAAGGCAAGGGGGTCTCCTAAGAGTACGCTACCGCGCTGACTCATTCGTCAGTCACTGTTTTACCAGAAAGATTTTTTGAAACATTCAACAATTTTTAATGTTTCTGTTTTGAAAAACAAACAGGAAAAGCAAACATTTAAGGACGATATCGACACCTTCACTGCTGATAAGGTGATCGTGAAAAACGGCAAGAGCTACGACTGTGACATCCTTATCACGTGCACTGGGTATACGTTTGGATTCCCTTATCTGGACAAGAAGATCATAAACATTGAGGTAAAAATTCGAACCTTATCAGTACCAAGAACTGGGGCCGTATTTGATTCTTCCAGGAGGATGCGTCCCACTCCTCTGATTCAGTCCTCCCCCAGTTTTGGGGGGACAAAAGAGAGTTACGTTATAGGACCGCCATACCTCTGTGTTTCTATCTGCCTGACAGTTAGAGCCAGGGTCAAGCGAGGCGTCGAGGAAAATTTGGAAATACGACCCCCCCCCCTCCCTCCGCCGAAGGCCGAAGTCCATGAAACAACCCTCTTCAAAAGCCGAACTATGAAAAGTTGTTTAATTCTCCACCAAAACTGCTTCATAAAAAAGCCCTGCTACCCCACCGTCCACAAAAAAAATTCGTTTAAAAGTACAAAAGTGAAAACGTCAA